AGTGGTGATAGAGATAGGTATTGGGGAAGGTGTTCTAAATCGAGATGACGGGGATAAGGTTAAAACAAGAACTTGGGGACCCATCTTGACAAAAATTTAACTGACGTCATTATTATATTTAATTGGTTTTTATATTTGACGCTTTTTAATGTCTTCTTTTTAAACGGTTTGTTTTTATGTTATTTTGTAACGTTTTTTTTTTTATTATTATTACCTGATGACGCTGACCACAATAGGTCAGCGAAATATCGTTGATATATTTTTACATCAAAATATATTTAAAAATAGTTATACGCTGCCTTTTTATTAAAATCAACTTACATATTAAATATATATATATAAATATATATATATATATATATATATATATCGTATAACAAGAAATGACTTTTAAAGATATATATATATATATATATATATATATATATATATATATATATATATATATATATATATATATATATATATATATTTGCATGCATGTGTATGTTGCATACGTACACACACATATCATATATCATATATCATATGTGTGTATGTATGCAAGATTTTTTTTTTTTTAACTTCGTTTTGGTGCATTTTAAATGATCATTTTAAAAAATAAAGATGAAAAAATAAAATTATTTATTTATATTATATTAGCTAATAGAAAATTAATGTTTTTTTTTACTTACTTTACATTGCATTTATTTGGAAACTTGCCATTGCGAAAACAAAACATACACACATATATTATATGTGTGTATGTTTTGTTTTAGCAATGGAAAGTTTCCAAATACATGCAATGTAAATTAAAAAAAAAAACATTACTTTTCTATTAGCTAATTTAATATTAAAAAATAATGTTATTTTTTTTATCTTCATTTTTATAAATGATTGTGTAAAATGCACCAAAAAAAAAATCTTAGCACTTAGTTAAAAATACATTTTTCTGCCAAAATTAAATTTAAGAATGAACCAAAAAAGCTATAAAGTAAAGAACATTAAAAAATTTGAAGAAAAAATTTTTAAATTCGTACAGTTAGAAATTCTGAAAATTTATTTCAAAAAAATAAACAACTCGCTCTCCTACAGCAAATTAGAAATCTTAATATGTTTTTAAAATTTGTTTATATTATATTAGCATCTTAATTTGTTTTTAAACTTAATTTAACTGCCTAATATTATAAAAATGACGCTTGTTTATTGATTAAAAAAAAAAAAAGTTTATAATACTGAACAGCACACAAAAAATGCAACAAAATTGTCATCTAAAATTTACCACGTAGTTAAGAACCGCAGCCATTCTAGAAGCCTACTAAAAACTTGTATATATATATATATATATATATATATATATATATATATATATATATATATATATATATATACATATATATATATATATATATATATATATATATATATATATATATATATATATACATATATATATATATATATATATATATATATATATATATATATATATATATATATATATATATATATATATATATATATATATATATATATACAATAATATATATACTATGTAGCTGATATATGCATATAATCACAATAATAGCATAGTCATTATACTATTAACTATTACTTAGATTAGTTTAAAGTTAGAGATGTCAAGAATTTTCTGTGACTATTTGGTATTCGGCATATTCGGCTACTTTTTTTACTATTCGGTATTGGGCCGAATATTGCAAACTATTCGGCTAAATACCAAATACCCAATTGCAACCAAAAAAACGTATAAAAACGAATTACATATAACAATTTTTTTTTTTTTTTTAATTTGTAAAAAATAATTGGCATATTTAAAACTAAGTGGTAAGTTATGATAAAAACATTTTTATTGTTTAATGATAGCTAATCAAGGTTTCACGGTGCTCGGCGATAAGACAAAAAAAATGTCTTTTTCTTGCTACGGCCATTAATTTTATTGGTAAATTTATGTAGGTTGTAACATTTCCTAAACGGCTGTATAATATGTTCAAAAAAAAAAAAATGATTGCAAATTCCTCATAAATTATACATACTTTCAAAAATAGCCATTCAATTTGTACACCGCCACCGGCAATTAATAAGAAAATTATAGCAAGATCAGTTAGGATAATCTTTTGCGCTTACTGACCACAACTTTTAAGGGTTTGTTGTATAATTTAAGCGAGCAGTTTTATGTAAAAACTAATTTCAATGGCCATTGGACTTTTTTTCTCCACATCTTCACATGTATGCATATTTTTCTAACTAAGTGGAGATGAATCATTACCGTTCCTACAAGGTACCAGTGATGATTCATTGGTGTCAAGCAGCTTTTCACTGAAAAGGATTAACCTTTTACTGGCTTTATCTTTCTCAGATATTTTAGATTTTCGTTGTTGTTTTGATTGTTACATTTTAATTAATCCTTTGAAATTAGTTTTAAAATGTGCATCAATAAAAAAACCAGCCCTATAATTGATATTCTTAATAAAAATAAACCATATGTTAAACCATTCAAAGTTTAGGTTGTAGTGAAGATATCGTTTTTAATAAGTTTAAAGTACTTTGTGCTGTATCTATTAATAGCAATTTCTTAAATTACATCAAAAGTTCAAGATATACCTGAGCTGGTTACTTGTGTAATCTTTTTGAATGGTTTGAAGAGTATGATACTGTAATACATAACTATAGTTAAAACAATTTGATGTAACAGTAAATAAATAGGTAGTTAAAAAACGTAGTTAACGTATTTATATCAATGAAGTAGGTCGGAACCATCAAAATTAAGTAAGTGCCACCGAATACTTGGCTGCCGAATATTCGGTATTCGGCAAAACCACTTATTTGTGACATTTCTATTTAAAATCTTACGCACTTATAACTGCATGTAGTTGTTAATATGACAAAGTATAGCAATTATTTCATTTGCAAAAAAAAAGTATTTAGTCAACACTTTAAAGCTTGTTTCAACCTGATTTCAAAAATCTTTTTTGTAATCAGTTTTTTTTTTTGTCAATACTGTTGAGTCAATAGTATTGACAACATGGGTGTACGACTTAGTCGCAAAATACAATTTTACGTCGGGAGTAAAAATCTCATGACAATAAAAATTTAATACAAGATTTTTCGTGAAAAAGAAATTAATATAAAATATTTTAGCGAGGAGTAAAAATTTGTAATTAGTTAAAATGTAGCAGTAAAAATTTCATACTACACCAGAATTTATATTGGTAAAAAAATTCTCGATAGAATATTATTTGGCTTCAATAAAGCGCGTTTTTGTAGAAAAAAAAAAAAATTATTTTCTAAAAACAAGTTTAATTTATGTAAAGGAAAAATTGAATTCAAATATCACAATATTTTTTTTTTTGAATTCGAAATGATTATTAAAGGTTGTTGTATTTTTCAATTATTTTTACAATATTTAATGATTAAATTTAATCATATTAACTTTAACTCATATTAAAAATTTAATGTAATGTCTGTAAAATGAAAGTTTTAACGCAATGAATGGATAATAAAATACCAAGTTTTAATCATAAATAATTAAATTATTTATTATAAACGTTTTTTCAAAATATTTTTTTAGCCTATAACATAGAAATGAAATTTTTAATTTTTAACATTTGTTTCAAGTATGAAACTACTAATATACTTAATAGTTTTTTTGAATTTATTTTTATTTTATTCAATTTTATTCGCATTGATTCTATAAACAACCACTCCGACAAAATTATAACTTAATTACAAATAATCAAAAGTTTTGGAATTATTCATATAAAATGCAACTTTGATGTCAAATTTTTAATATTTGCTTTTAATTACTATTTAAATTGCTCGTAATTATCTTAAAAACAAACGTCAAAATGTTTTTCCTCACCGGCAGAAGCATAACTTTCGCCTACAATTTGGGAATGTCAAAATGTATTGGGAGGCAGCCACCAGTTGCTGCGGGAAAAAAATGGAGGCAAGAAGATTTACGCCGTTTATCAATACTGCATTAAAGAGTAGTTTTTTCAAAATTTTTTGTTGTTACTCTTAAAGTAGTCAAAAGTAGTCAAAACAGGGTTTTCACAAAATAAAGTTTTTATTTCCTGAATATTTAACTATAAATTTATCAGAGTAAATTATTATCTTTAACTATTGCGAATTTTCTTAATAAGCGTAGGAAAGATTTTCTATGTAGAATCTACTTTATTATATTTTGAAAATAGAGACCATGAGGATTTAGATGACCAAAATGCATCCGGAACGTTACCGACCGATGCAAGGAATCTTTCATAAATTTTTGACTCCTATTTTTACATATCAATGTAAATTGTATTTTTAGAATTAAATTTGGTTAAATGAAAAAATAAAAAAAAGTAGTTTACGTATAGTTTGAACTGAGCAAGTCAATTTTGTTCAAAAATTAACCCCCTCCCCATGTTTTTGCCCAATTGACGCCACTAATATTAAGTTATAATCTTTGTTTTATCAAGCATCATCGCGTGTTATTATGCTGCTGGTCATTCAGTTGCTCTCAAAATACGTACGCGAACGATCAAAAACACCTGAATATCCTGATCAGAAACTTTTAATGTGGCATTCCCACAGTACATATATATATATATATATATATATATATATATATATATATATATATATATATATATATATATATATATATATATATATGTATATATATATATATATATATATATATATATATATATATATATATATACATATATTGGGGTTTATTCATTTATTATCAATATATAACCTTTATCATTTAAATATATAGAATATATTATAAAATATATATATATATATATATATATATATATATATATATATATATATATATATATATATATATATATATATATATATATATATATATATATATATATAGAGAGAGAGAGAGAGAGAGAGAGAGAGAAAGAGAGATGTAGGCATAAATATAGAAATATTGTGAGAGAGATAAAGATGAAAATGCAATAGACTTTTTAACTTAAAAGTATGTATGTTATTTAAAGGATCTAGCAGGTGCTGAGGGTCCTGCAAATCTCGTTAAGAAACACTACCAGAAAAAATTGCGTTTAGCGAAAAAAAACACTTTTGACAATAGCGATGAACGTTACTCTGCAAGTTCATTGGAACACGCACTTCCAAGTTATAAGAAGTTTACTATTACGTCCCTAGGCGCATCTAAGCAAGGTTATACAATTAATAAATTTTATTGAGTGATTAATTTATTACATTATGTTTGCAACTTCAAAACAAATTTTTTAGTAACTGATGACGGAAACCAACTGAAAAAAGATACAATACAACCTGTAGTTAAACCAAAAAAATATAAAAAGAAAATATCTAAAGTTGTCAAGAAACAAACATCTCCTTATACATATCAATCACCTGGATATGGAGGATTGCTTAAGACTACAACTACAACGCTTGCTCCTAAAATAGCGTGGGTACCAAGTTGAAATAATTTTAAACAATTTTAGTGATGTTATTAGAAATCAATATATTGAAATAAAATTCTATAAATATTTAATAAATGAACTTATTTTATGTATTTAACAATAAATACTTTTATGTAATTAATGCAAGTTATGTAAAAAGCGATTATTTAACCGAATAAAAAAGTATGATTTATATATTCATTTGTATACTTTATTTAGATTTAAGGTGGTAGACTACTAAAAAAATTATTTTTGCATCTTTTAGCAATCTTTATTAAATGTTTTTATACAACATGAACTCTTAATTTATAGAACATGCACTGTTAATTTACAGAACATTTACTGTTAATTTATAGAACATGCACTGTTAACTTACAGGATTCTTTGGACCCTAAAGGTTTTATTAAAATATATTTAAATAAATTTACCAGTTAATAAATATTAAATTTTTATATCATTGACTCAATAATGATTTCAATAACTGATGACTCAATAATTTGAGCAGCCGTGGCGCAGTGGTAGTGTACTTGCCTCAGAAACTAAGGATGCGTGATTCAAATCCCACCTCTGGGCAAGTTTTGCGACATCGGTTAGGAAGGAGGCTGAACTATCAATTAAATGCTCCTCCGCGGTGCTCTGTGATAATTCCAAAAGGACTTCTTGGGCCACCTAAATAAAATAAAAGAAAAAAATGTATAATAATATGTATATATTGTGTAAATAAATGTAATAAATAAAATAATATGTAATAATAATAATATGACCATAATTTCTACACTTTTTTTTTTTTTTATATATATATATTTATTTCGTCATTTATAAATATTCACAATGATCTTGATTTACAAGTTTTCTCAACAAATTACAAAAAAAATTTAATAACAACAAAAACATGTAGAAGACAGAAGTCTTCTTATTTTTACAAATTTTTCATTATATAAAGTTACAAGAGGGAAAAAGGGGGCAAGAGGCTTTTTAAATAACAACTCAAAAAAAAGCTTAAAAATGGGTGAAATGACACTGCATTTACATCTTTGTATTTTAAAAAGCCAATTAGTTTTTTTAAATATCAATTAACGCAATTTTATACGCAGAGGTTTCCATTTTGCGCTTGAAAAAAAGTACCTCCGTTTCGTTTATTCATAATGAATACTGTTCTTCAAGTATAACTTTTTTAGGAATATTTGCGTGTTTATTTTGTGTTACTTTAGATAGAGTAGATAGTAGTTTTTAAAGTTTTATAAAATTGGAGGCGGAAGTTGCGTAATAAGTCATCTTGCCCCAGTCATGTGACCAGATGACAAACTTATAAGCTTTCTATTTTAATTTTTCTCAAATTATTCTTCTTGAAAACTAAAAACTCATGAAGGCAGTTAATCATTATGATAACTTAAATATAAAGGCAAAGTATTATTGCTTTATGACTGATAGTTTTTTGATAACTCATTTTCATCAAGAACTATGTCCCATAAGCGAGGTCTCATAACCTCTATATGAAATTGAGTAATCGGATTTTTAAGAGTTGACATGGATAAGTTAAAGTTATGGATGGAGCACCTCGTTATGTATTTATGATTAATTTTTAAAAATTGCTTAATAAAGGATTTTGAAAGTATATCATTAAGATATTTAAGCATGAATAAGAAATTTTTAAACAGATTTTACTTATAGACATTAGGAACTAGAGTAAGGACTTGTAGCGGGCGTATATATTCACATTAAATATATTTCTACTAGATTGTTTTTTTTTTATAAAATGTACTTAGTTTTACTGATATTAAATGAGAGTTTGTTTGATTTGAGCCAGTCATTAAAGTTTTCCAGCTCACAATTTACTCTAAAGAAAATTGTTTTTATATAGGAATGATTATAAAAAAGATTAGTGTAATCAGCGAAAACAACAAAATTAAGGATGTTTGTGGATAGGTAGATGTCATTTACATAAATCAGAAACAATAAGGGTTTAAGAGTAGAGCCATGAGCAACTCTACAGCTTAATGTTTCCAACTTTGTCTATTTTGTATCATAAGATACTCCTCGTTTTCTATTTTTAAGGTGTTTTTAAGGTTGTTAATATGTAACATTGTTTTGTAATGCTTTCGATGCTTTCGATGCTTCCGATTCGTTCGATGCGTTTGATGAATGAGTAACGCGGTTATTGTGGAAATTACAAACCTACGAGGTATTTATTATCCAATTCATAATAAAAGTGCAATCAATGATCGTAAGTTGGTGGGATGTAACTGGAGCAATATACAAGCTAACTATGCTATTTTTAAAGAGCGGACACCAGGTGGTAATGCAAACTCGAGATGTGGGCGTATATGGGGTGTAAAGTTTTTTTAAATCATAGTCACAAAAAAAAAGATTCAACTTTGAGAGCTTTAAATTAACAAAAAATGATACAAAAAAGTAAACTTTTGAAGTATAAACAAAGCTTAGTACTACTTTTTCACAAAAAAATGTCAAAAGAACAAATTAACCGTGAAAGAATTTTACACATTTACTTAGAAACTACTAAATCATCATCTAAAACAATTTCTAAACTATTCAAAGTCATTCAATCAACTGTTTCTTGGGTTTTCAAACGTTACAATCTTTATTCGTCAATTGCAAGTCAGGATCTGGAAAAAAGAAGGGGTTTGAGAATAAAACGTTAGCCTCGAAAACTCGTCGTTCATACTTTCAGAATCCTGGAGTATCTGACTATAAAAGAACAATTTGATACAATACATTGCGTTCTTTTGTGCAAAGTCAAGACTTTTTGCAACATTCACTCCTGTTGTTAGATAAAATATTCAAACTGTACGAAAAAGCAGCAAAAATGTATAAAACCGCGAGCTAGAAACCTGTACCACAACATTTTGACAAAGTTCAATGACTGCCAATTTCTTGATGATGAAACTTTTGTCAAATTAGGCTTTCGATAAATACCTGGTCACAGATTTGCTGGTATTAAGCGTGGAGCTGTCAGCGATAAATATAAATATACAAAGCTAGATAAATTTGGCAGGAAATGATTTGATAAGCAATTTGTACTGTGGCAAAAAATGCAATACATTTGTAACCTCAAACTCAATGAGTCCCAAGCTCTAAAAAAAAGAGTACCTGGAAAAGCGTCTTCTGCCTATCATAACATTTCATAATGTTCCCGTACGGTTTTGGACTTATTTAGCGAGCTGTCACTATGCTAAAGCAACAATAAATTGGTACCGAAAAAATGGCGTTGAAATTATACCTAAAAATCACAAGTCACCAAATCGTTCGCAAATACGTCATATAGAAAAATTTTGGGCTTCTTATAAGTTTAGGCTAAATAAGACATAAGGTAAAGCCAATACATAGTTCAAGCTGCTCAAAAAGTGAAGAAGAGTTTCTGATAGTTTAAACAACCCAAAAGTTCGTAGTCTTGCTCGAAGAAAGAAGATCGAATAATTTAAAATATGTCAAAATATAGATTAAAGATATATATATATATATATATATATATATATATATATATATATATATATATATATATATATATATATATTAGGGCCCTGCGAATCGGCATTTTTTTTTCAAATCGAATATCGAATCAAAGCAAGTCTTGATTCGCAATTCGAATCAGGAATCGAATTAACATTTTAAGGAAATCTAAACTTAAGCATTTTTTTTTTATAATTTATATTTCATAAAAAACTTTATTAGAAAGTCTTCACATTCCGTTTATTCTTTTATTTTCATATTCCGCCTCACAGTTTTCTTGGAATGGCTTGAAGTTATTTAAAGACAATCAAAAACAAAGACATTTGCATTGTATTCCCTTAAAATAACTTAAAGTAAAAAGTAAAAAAAAAATAAGACATCGTTACTTGATACGATAAAAAGAGTTAAAATAAAATGTCTTTCAGCATTATTATTAGATAAAGAATGACGTGAATAGCTAATTACATTTCCACCAGTTGAGTTGACTCGTTCAGAAGAACAACTTGTTGCTTGTACAGCTAATTCAGATCAAGCCGCGTGCGAATAATCAGGAAATATATATATCTTTTTTCCAGTATTCAAGTAGGCAATTATCACTATTTATGGCTTGCAAACTACTGTAGATACCCATTTCCGTAAAACGTAATTTTTAATGTCTTTTTGCAGAATTTAGTTGTAAAAGTTTATGTTTTTTCAGATTCTTTTTCCTTAACTTGTTTAAATACATCGTCAAGTAAATTTTTAGATAAGTTTTCTATTTTTTCTTCATTGATAGAATTTACGTAAGGAGTAGTTTCGTATGGTTTAAAATCAATGGAAATTTCAATTAGATGGTTTCTAGGGTCTAAATATGTTTATGTAAGGAGCGTAACATTTTCTAAATTAAAGCGTTTATGAAGTTGTGAAAGTTTTAAAGCTGCTCATAAAGCTACAATTTAATGAATCTAGTTAAACTTTTAAATTATAAATGCAAGATTTAACTAATCTGATAGCCACAGTAGTATTAGAACTAAGTAACGTTGTTGCGTCCGAAATTGATTTTAAAAATGGAATACACTTTTTTTGAATATCTTTCATCGTCACCTATAAAGCTTTAGGAGGAGCTTTTGCGTATCTACCACTTAAAGTGTATTCTGTAAGAACCATTGTTATTGCAGTACAATTTTTTACATGACCATTTCAGAAGTTTAAATTTACTGTTAAACCTAGTAACTATATCAAGTGGTGGACATGATTCTGGAAGTCCTTTTTCGAGTTGATATTTCTTTAAACATTTTAGACCTACAGAAGAACTGATGAAAAAACCTGCAAATTTGTGTACCTAATAAGGTTTTCAACTTGTTTGTTGAACATTTAAAGTACTCTTAATGCATAGTTGAAGATTATGTGCAGCACATGGTTGCCTTGTAATTCCTAAAAGGCTACGGCTGGCAGGTATTGCGTTTGTCGTGTCTGTGGTTGCACATAAAACGTTGTCGATTTCAATATTTGAACTTTGCAGTTGATTTATAATGAACTTTTTTTTTTTTGAGAAGTATGATCTGCATCAATATCTTCAAGATTTACCACAGAACAACAACGCGATTTTAGCTTCCATTCTGTTAATTATATATAACGAGCCGTTAAAATTGAAAAGTTGCTATTACTTGCAGCTTTCTAATGATCAAAGGAATTGGAACATTTACAACCTGACATTTCTGCAAGTACTTCTGTATTTTTTTGTTCGCTC